TGCAAAAGTTCAGCTAAAAAAGACAGGCCTTTTGTTATACATACAAAATAATTCCACCAGGCTCAGAAAATCTCGCAATTAAGCGACTGAAAATATAATTGTACATATATTATGATTTAGTAGTAGCAACAATAACTACTATTCTTTGCTGAAACATACAATATTCTCTCGAAAATTTGTTTTCAATTTCTTATGTTATTGTTATATTATTATCTTCTATGAGAGCTGTATTGAGAGAAATGTAACACAATAATGTTTTATTCTTGCAATGTTTACATATAAAATAACTCTTGTGTACATACAATTTGCATAATATTATAAAATATATTATTGATAAATTTATTATTAATAATCATTGTATAATATAACAATTTATATCATAATAATTATTATGAGATTAACATTATGTATAATTTATAGGAAGTGTTAAGTCAAGTGACAGAAGATTATCCAACCATTATTCTAAGCGATATATCTCCTCAGGATATAAAATTGATTATCGAATTCATATATCATGGAGAAATTCGTGTTCCTGTTGAAAATATCAATAGCTTACTTGAGGCTGCACGATCGTTAAAAATAAGTGGTCTTATTAATGTTAGTTTCAAGTTATTTATTAATTAGACTTTTTTGTTACCATTTGTCAAGTTTTTTTTTAATTTGTTGTAGAATTTTATATTTAACAATTTGGAATTTATAATAATATTTTGTATTTTCAACAGATAGATGGAGTTTATGAAAATGAAATTGATAAAGGAAAAAAAGATCAAGCAATGGAAGAAACTGTGTCAAAGGTAGAGGAAATTCAGGACAATATTGAATCTTTGGAGAATGAGACTCATGAACCAAGCACTGCTAAAAATTGTATTTCAAATAAAAAGAAGAAACGACGCCGTGACACTGTAAAGAGAGATTACAGTGACGATATGTTAGCATCTGCAATTAATGATTTGAAATTAGGACAAACTTTAATAGAAGCTGCTACTAAGCACAATATACCACGCTCGACATTGTATATGCGGGCAAAAGCATTAGGCATACATTTAAATGCATCAAGAAATGGATATCCTGCAGAATGCATGAATGCAGCTATAAACGCCGTGATCAGTTAGTGTTTTTCTTATACTTGGTTTATTCTTCTTTTAGAATTTAATTCTGTGTATTTTTATATTAGATTATATTAGATTATTCTCTAGTATGCAATGTATGTCTGCCATTATTTAATAATTATATTTAGACTGTTTAATTATGCAAACTTTATTGTAGATGGTTCGAGCTTGCAGCATGCATCAGAAATATTTAGAATACCTAAAACTGTATTATGGAGACGTATACAAAAGGAGGGCTATCAGATCTTACGTCGTCAAATGAAGAGATCATATGCTTTAGACACGAAAGAAGCCGCTGTTAAAGCTTTGGAAAGAGGAGAAAATTTGACAAAAGTTGCTCTGGAGTTTAAAGTAAATTTTATTACAATTTTGTTCATTGCTTTTGAATTTATTTTATCGTAAACAGATTTAACAGATTGTTAATTGAGTGTAACCTAAGATGTCAATGATCTTTAGATACCAAAGACTACATTGTTTAGAGAAAAGGCACGACTAGTAAATCAAGGTAAATTACCGTTATCATTTTGGAAGAAGCGCAAAACTGAGAATGAAGAATCAAAGAAGTCGCGATTAGAGGAAGCTGTAGCGGCTTGCAAAGGTGGCAGAATGTCGCAGGCTGCAGCGTCCATGATGTATCACATTCCAAAAACTACAATATGGCGAAGACTTCAACAAGATGGAAAAAAAGCGGAAAAATCATCAAATGTGAAAAAGCAACGACTAATTGATACGCCAGTACTGCACGACTCTCAGGCGAAAATACAAGACACGTCCAATTTCAGTTATTGCGAGGTAATTTGAATTATCAAGTCCCTTCAATATAATTGCTAATGGATTTGTGATATGTATAGGTTGCATCAGAAATACCTATAACTTATATAGACGAGGATAGTATACCTGAGGATTCCGTCATAATCCTAACAACGGAAGAAATGGATGAATTAAACTTAGAAGGAGGCAGACAAATTATTGTAAATTCGGTATGTAATGTACGAATAATTTGTGATAATTTTTATGAATTTAAATAGTGGATTGATTAATTTTGCCTTTCTACAATCCATCTTTATTTTTCTTCAGGAGTCCGGACAGGAATATATTCCATGTACGATAAGTATCGAGAATAATTCTAACTATTCCGAGACTGAGAGTTAGCGTCAGAAATTTAAGTAATGAAAAGCTAATTGAATAGGGATGGGCGACACAGAAAAAAATCTCAATAATGCGATATTTCATATCGCAATGTATCGTAAACAGAAATATTGATATATCAAAATATAGGACAGATAATTTGCGACATTGCTAATATCTGATATTTTTATTTTTAAGCGATACGCGCACCAATGCGTATCGATATGCAAAAAGTCCATCTTTTTACATCGAAAATTTGATATTCCTGTTCAAATGTCGATACATTTCAATACAAATCGAAATATATTAATACAAAAATCCTAGAAAAAATATTGATATTTAAAATATTGGTTCTGTATCGCTTATCTCTATAATGAACCCTCAACTACAGCAATGATTATTGCTATATCGAGTTATTTGAACTCGAAAATTTTAGACGGTTATGTGATCTGTACATGTCGATTGGTACGATGTACATTGGAAATTTGGAACCTCGTAATAGCGCGCACTCGAGGCTCTGAATGCGCTATATCAAGGTAATCCCCATTTTACTCCCAAACTGAAAATCCAGGATCGTTGCGATATCATTTCTACATGCGCTTTAAGAATGTATTACACATATTTTCAAAATGATGAAAAAAAATGATGAAAAAGTTATAAATTATTTTAGATCGCACATTCAATAGTAAATGTTTTTTTTTTTTTTTGAAGAATAAAACATTGTATTTTTCTTAAATATGTTTTTAATGCTTCAAATATTAATGCTTTAAACACTTTACTGTAAAAAAAAACATTTAAAACATTAAAACCATCAACTAAGCATGTTTTAAACTGTTTAAAATATGTTTTTTACCAACCCTCAAAATAAGTACACCAAAGCACAATTTTGCGCAAGCCTGTACGAACACGTCGCGACTTGGGCTGTGTTCCAAAATTGACTGCCAGTACTGAAAATCTATAGTGCACGTAACGTAAACTGTAGCATTTTCAATGTTGACAGCCTTCGGCTGCGTTCCGTAACGCACTGCTAGTACTGGCAGCACTGTAAAGTCTGTTCCAAAATTCATCGTAGGCTGTGTTCCAAATTTACTGCCAACACTGAAAATGGGTGCGTTCAGCAGAACGTTTGTTTTGCAACTGTTGTAAGTTTTCTTCGCGCTAATTGGATCATACTTTTAGATCTAGAAGAATGGTCCTATCTCAGCAGACAATGGCTGCGTTCAGCAGAACGTTTGTTTTGCAACTGTTGGAAGTTTCCTTAGCGCTAATTGGATCATACTTTTAGATCTAGAAGAATGGTCCTATCTCAGCAGACAATCATAAAACGGTTGCAAAACTGTTGAGTCTGCTGAACGCAGCCAATCACAAAACGGTTGCAAAACTGTTGAGTCTGCTGAACGCAGCCAATGCTACAGTTTACGTTACGTGCACTATAGATTTTCAGTACCGGCAGTCAATTTTGGAACACAGCCACAGTAAATCCATTTTACGTTAAAAATTACTTAGTTACACGTACTGCTGAAAGTAATGTTCCGTTACTATCATTTTACTGTACAGTATATTTGCGAAAATGGAACGCTTGCTTCATCACACTAGAATGACGTCATGCTGTCAGTACTAACAGTGAGTTACGGAACGCAGTCTTGGGAAGTAGCCGTTGGCCGCTTGCATTGTTATTCCCCCACTTACGTTATTCACATATGCCGAGCGCATATGGAGGGCATGATTCGCGCTATTTCGAGTACGCTAGTAGGTTCCAGTGTAATATTAAATTGTAGGTAAAAAAAAGACGCTTGAGAACTTAGGTGTAGTTTTTATTAGCTATAGTTGAGGGTTATATAGATATCAGGGTTAGTAAAAAAACATGTTTTAAACAGTTTAAAACATGCTACATTGATGTTTTTAATATGTTTTAAATGTTTTTTTTTTATAATACTGTTTAAAACATATTTGAAGCATTAAAAACATATTTAAGAAAAAACAGTACGTTTTATTCTTAAAAAAAACAGTATTTACCAACCCTGATAGATATTAAGAATATGATAGAGGGATATGTAGACATTATTTAATATCTATAAGTTAAAGTTAATTGTAGCACGACTGTACAATTATTTTATTTATGATATCTTAACAAAGTGTATTATATTAACATTACATTGTGTTTACTTATATCAAGTGTATAAAGTATATTGTAACTATCACACACACACACACACACACACACACACACACACACACACACACACACACATTCAATAAAATTTTTTTATAAAGTTTGGTTAAATAGATATTTAAAAAACTTTTAATTTATGAAATTGCTTATCTAAAATAATGTCAATAGGAAAATTTGCTTTAAAAATTTAATTTAAATAAACAATTCAAAATAGTACAAAATGCAATATTTTTATTTGTTAATTTGCATAGTAATAACGATAGCATTAATTTTAACAATTAAAGCATAATTACTCTCTAAAGAATTATTGTAAAAAGATAGATTTTTGTGTAAGATAAATTTTTAATATTAAATAATGGCAAATGATAGACAACAAATAATAAATATTTTTGAAAAAATACACGAGTTATTTGTGTATATATCAAGTTTTTATGCTTTAAGTCTGTTTTCATATGACAGAACTTTGCAAATCGTACGTGCATAAATTTTGATCGATAACAATGCTGTATGATTTGATAAAACGCTCGCACGAAATCTGGCGATTATCTGGATTATCAATCCACGTATATCGATAATGAGAGCGATTTATTCCGCAACGATAGTTCACTAATTATAAAATAGAGAAGGATAGGGATGCGATAAATAAACAAAACTTACACGGAAGATTACGATAAGAGGCAAAAGAAAATAAGAATTAAGAGAAGAAAAGGATAGGGTTGCACTTCCAAAACTTAAAGGGACGTTTGAGCAGTTGGAGTACTCCGGCGTGCGCATTGCGCAAGTCACACGCATCTGACGCATCGGTGTGCCGGTGTGCGCGTGTCACGTACGCGAAATCCTTCGCTCGTAGCCACACGCGTAGTAATTGCGCGCATTAACACGACACGCGGCCGCAGCCATACCATCGAGATCGAGGTGGTGATCGTTCAGGGTGAGTCCCGTTGCACCACGCGATAACAGAGGTGGGTGCTCTCTCTCTCTTGGAGAAGAGAGTCGCGAACGCGGTGCGCATATTTCCGACCCGCGAGAGACGTAACGAATCGTGTCGTCGGTTGTGACCTGGCGTCGCGACTCGTTCTACGTTCGAATCGGCGATCCTTCTGGTTCAAGAGGAGGCGGCGACTAGGGTAAAAAATCGCGTACATCTCGCGAGAGGACATGCCGGACAGCGGGGCCGTCTACCAACCGACCACCGTCGGCTACACGTACGACAGCGGTGGCGACGGCAGCGGTGGTGGTGGTGGCGGCGGCGCCGCCGGGCTGAGGCACGGCTTTTGGCGCATCGTATCCAGGCACAAGCTCAATTCCAGGAAATGGTTGGAGTGGACGCTGCTGTCGGTCGCACTATGCTTCTTCGTCGCTGGCCTCACGACCATGCTCGTCAACCTCGTCTCCGCAGAGGAGGAGTCTTCGAAGACGAGTGACGATGTTGCATCGGAGGTAAAAATTCTAGTTATTGTTCGCAATATGCAAGACTTATCGTAAAATGTTGATCTTTTATTTTCTCAGACTTTTCCATCTGAAACATTTAAAAATCTCCCTTGTAATAAAGTTCATAATAAAGTACATAAATTTGTCTAGAAAGACTAAAAGGAAATTTTAATATTAACGATTGTTATTTTTTTCTTGCTAAAATTGAGCCCGAAGTTTATTTTATTTCTATTGAAGGTGATTATAAACTGATATGAAAGAATGTAATAATTGTAGATAAAGCCAGAAGAACATTCAACGACGGCTCCAGATGTACAGCAACATGAAAATACAGGAAAGAGTTCTGTGGCGTTAGGTGCCGGGATAATGCTAATCGGTGTATTGCTTGGCTTTGTTTGGACATGGCTCACTTTCTTTCATCATAGCAAATCACCAAGGAACGGCATGACGAGTAGCAGTGGTCAGGTAAGCGAACAGGTTTCCACCCGAATACAATATTTTGCGTCTAATTTTATTTTACCGGAAGCCATCCGCTCTCTGGTATGTTCTGGTACATTTGTTTCTTTATCTTATGTACGCGTTGCTATGAGGAAAGATGTTGGGCGGTTTGAATCCATCGACTGACTTGCTGGTGGGTTCCACTTCGCAGTACGGGCCAGTACTCACAGAGGTGCCAAGCCAGCTGAAGATAAAGCAAGCCAATTCGCATGACATGCCGGCCATACCGCTTTCCGACCAAGAGGAGGAAATGCACACGCTAATGCAGGACCCTGCGAGCCCGCCGTCGGTTTCCGTTGGATCTAACGCCATCACTAATCAAATTCCAGGTTGAGTAAAACGATTGCTCCCATGTGTGTACAAGCGCGTATATAATATGGACAAAAAATTTCGTTTTATAAATTTTCTAACACGTTCCAAGAGATTTATTATCACTGCGATTTTGCAATCCTCTGTTTCATTTAAAACTCGAAACAACTGTCGTCCTTCTCTGATTTTCAAGTCGTGGCATTCTGTTCCGGTCTACAATAGGTAACCCCTTTAGCATTTTGCTCTAAGCTTCGAGTTGCGATGTTAATTTGCTCTAAGCTCTATTTAAAGCTTAGGGATTAAACAGCGTCGGGAATACTTTTTGTTGTAAAAAAAACGTTATGGTTTACAACTTAGAACAAAAATGCTTACTACTATCTATTATAAATTGGGGCTTATACTGTCATTGAAGTCATTTGACGTTGATCTTGTGATTGAAAAAATTTTATTTTATTTTTTAAAAATCTGGACATTTTATAATTTATAGAACTTTTTATTTAAGTTTAGACTATTTGGCGAATGCGATTTGAGAGATCTCGTTTCTAGTATATTTAGGAAGTTAAGTACTTATTTTTTTTTTTTTTTTCATTTTTGCTTATGCATTTTTTCATTCCGTCCAATATCATTATTAATATGTTAAGTAAGCATTAGATCCAGATAAAAAAAACGCAATTATGACAATGCGTTTCGTAAATTTGATAACAATCTTTACATCAGAAGTACTGAATTTATTACATAAAATATCTTTTTTAATTTACATTTGTATTGTTAAATAATATAAATATAATTTTCACTACACACTGCATATACGCTTTATGCAAATTTGCACGCGTCTAGGCAAATCTAAATCATTTTACCTTGATTCGATATGCTCATGGTACATAACATATATTTAAGTACCAAGTCTAAATTAGTAATAATAATAGCAATTATATTGACAATATACATTGTAAATTAAACACATATTGGTACATATATCAATTAAGTCGGTAATTGTTACTGTAATTAATACACAAAACGATTATGTATATATTAATGTAATGTGTATATATATGAAACACATGAAACGACTGCAACTTTAGAGAAGATATTTGATTTAAAAATGTTTAAATCGTGCTTAAGCCACAATAAGCCACAAGCATGCCGCAATGCACAAATTTTGTTTTTGTTCACGTTTTTATTTTTAAGTTGTGATATACACGATAATGAGTTTACATCGCACATGATATTATAAAGTAATCCTATACATTGAATATATTTGCTTTAATGGAATATCTATTTGCACACACTTCATGATTTTATATAATTAATTTAATTGATCTCTCACATAGAAATAATATAAATGTAGAGCTCATCCTGTAAGATATTTTTAACGGAATATATAACGTTAGAGTTTTGGGCATGGTACATATGCAGCATTGTATAAAACACCGATTTAAGATAATTTTTATATGTATGCCGTTATTTGCTATAAAGCGATGTGTTCAGTTTTGTAATATGCGATAAGCATTTTGGAGGAACCATCAAAGGACGGCCTGTAAGTTTGAGTCTGAATTCAATGCTATTACAGATCAATTACGCATATAATAGCTTCATTTTTTAACATTTATGAGATTTAGTGAGATCCTTATTATGCCTGTGTTATTAATTCGTGTACTAATTTATGTGAATATTCTGGAATGTAAGATAAATAAATAAAAAAAAATATTACTCACGACTTTTTTTCTCTAAGCTTTAAAATGTTAATGTGTATATATTAAAGAATCTATTGTTAACCCTCGGAAACTGATGGGTCTATTGAACCTACTCAATTATATATCTGTTTGTCAAAGAATGTCAATTCAGTTTTTTTTATTTAGATTATTCTTATTAAAATTCTTTTTCTGTACGAGTTATGTACATTCATTTTTTGGTACCTGTTGTAAAAATTAATTAATGTCTTTTAATGAATATAAATTAAATAAGTTTTACAGACTCATGTCCATTTTTACCAATGTAGTTTAATTTTAATTTTAGTTCAACAATTTTGGTTAACTCTTTATCTTTCTCTGATTCTAAAAATTAAAAAAAGATGAAGAGTAAGTTGAACTGAGATTAATGTCTTAATCTACATTAGTAGAAACGAGCATCAGTCAGTAACTGTGTTACAAATTTTTGTATCAACTCCAGAGTATTAAAAGCACATACGCAAAGGGAGAGCAAGTAGTGTTTACTTTCCAAAATTTTGGCAAGAAGAAATAATTAAATCATGAAAATCATTGTTACGACAAAAAGTTAAATGCTTATTGGCCAAAGTGGTCAAGCGTTATTCGTACGAAAGTATTCGTTGAAGATCCTTGAAGACTGGTTTTAATAAAAATATTTTTATAAGTTTTGTGTGAAGATAAATTTTTGCCCTCTAACTGAAATCCTACGCCAATGATTAAAAGTATATTCAGCCATTAATGTATGTAAGTGTAAGATTAATTTTGGTTCAATTTACTTTTTATCTTTTTCTAATTTTTAGAATTATCAGTAAGTTAAATAGAAATTAATCTTACATTGATGGAACCGAACCTCAAAGTTTTAAGAAAAACCTTACTTTTTCTCTATAAATCAGCATCCGAATTGTAAATTAGTGTAGATATTACTTGAAAAGTTTATAGTTGATATATTAACGAGACTTAATTAAAATCATGATTAAAGTCACTCTTAGAAATTATCCTGATTTTGAGACAATTATCGTTTCAATTTTCAGTAATTTTCAATTTAAGTAAAACACCCCATTTTTCTGAGAAGCCGATTCTTTCATAAACTTATTGATGTTTTTCATATATTATTACTTATCTTCGATCGCAAGTATAAATATGCTTTACGCAGATAATAATGTAGGAAATCGGTCAAGTTTCATTTTTTTTATTGTAAGGAACATCGCTGGTAATAAACGATATGATAAATTCTGTATCGATAAAACGTGACGTCTCGAAAGAAAAAGATGCATAAAAAGATGTATAAAAAGCGTCATTGTCCGATATCTTGAGAACGATAAACTCAAAAGACACTTCGGTTGCACAAGGTTAACGCGTTTGATTTCTATCAGCTGTCGCGCTCAATATGGCTGCCCGCGCAAGACGCGTTTTCTTCCGCAGCACTGGAGAGACGCCTACATTAGGACGAACTTGGTGAATACGATCGAGATTCTCTAAATTGCAAGTCGCAAGAGTAGTCTGGCTTCGCAATGGCGGGTAACGATGTAGTACTGGAGGGATTTATATGTCCTATATGCATGACTGATTTCAAGGCACCTAGTCATTTAACGAAACACTTCGAGGAAATTCACAATGATGATCCGGAGATCTTAAGATCTCTGAAAGGTATGCGTGCACGATTCTTTTGCAATTTATTTGTCAAGAAAAAACTCATAGAATCCTATTTCTACAATTTATTAAGTTTGTATACAAAACGAAAGTCAAAATATATTGGATTTTATTTCAGATTTGTTTGGCAAAGCCAAGAAAAAAATCTTGAAGCAGGACGATATACCAGAAACATTTCCAAGTGCGATACAGCAAGACAAGAGACGGAGTCCTGAAATTAATTGGGGACCACAAGAAATAGGTAGCGCAGCGATACTTATGAGCCAAAACTATCTTTGACAAGAAGAAATAATTTTTTTCATTAAAGCTCCTAAATAATCAAATGTAGATTTTTAGTTTCCTAAAATCAGTATTTAAAAATACTGCATGCTGCTAAATGCATAATTAAATTTTATGTGATGTCACATTTATTAATTTTTAAAAACTATTCCAGGTGCAATTACATCTCATACGAGGTATTTTAAGGATATAAGAAATGCTCGATTAGAAAGATACGCATATGAAACAAATAAACTTCTTATAAGGTTAGATAAATTATTAAATAAGTTACCATCGGATCCTGTCGATAGAAAAGGTGAGAAAATATATAAATTACTTATCCACTGATATATCCCATGATATCTATTTTATTTTATATACAATTGATGATTAATGTAAATAAAAATTTTTACAGTTCATGAACGCTCTATTGTTCCATGGATTGATGAAAAAGATGTAAAATTGTGTCCTAATTGTGCTAAGAGTTTTCATTTAGCAAGGCGAAAACATCATTGTAGATTATGTGGGGCAGTCATGTGCCATAATTGTACTGTATTTTTGTCCCTCGTCGATGCACGTATGTAAAACATTTAATATTATTTCGGGTGCTTTTCAGTCACAGATAATATATAGTAAAGAGAATTATTTCATTTTTGTTTAATGTTAGCAAATATGGATGTAATGATTCACTGTGGCTGCTTTCATTTTAGGAAACATAGTCAACACAAATGTCATTCTATCCTTCTCGATATGAATAATAGAATATTTATGTCAATCTCCTAAAAAGGAAAGCAGTCTGTGTCACTTGTATCTTTTGCTGAAAAGTACTTCTAATTTATGAAATAATTTGTACATATTCTTAAAATTATGTTTAACAGAACTAATTTTTTTACAGGAAAGATGACTAGTCCCGTATCAATACAAGATGATTCTGCTTCGTCTCCTATATCAGAACGAACATTTCCCGAGAGAATAGCACGTGCAGGTATAGGTCTCTCAAAATTAGCACGATCACCTTCCAACGGTAGTTTAAATAGCGTTTTATCATTGGTCAATGATTCAACTAGCAGTGAACAACACTTTAGGGTCTGTACTCACTGTATAAACTTGCTTGATGCAAGGGAAATGCAGAAAGCGAAGCAATTTGATAAACCAATTGTTTGTGAATTTTATGAGAAAATGAAGGAATACATGAGCGAAGCGTCACAGCATTTAGCAATGTACAACAAAATGTGGGAATCGCTAAAGTATGTGAACTTCCATTATATTTAAGATAATGTCAATCTATCACAATATAATACATTAAAAATTGTAATATACAGAGCGACTTTCTTGGTGTGCAAGTTATTAATTATAAAATTAGTATCGGAAGAACTTATATTAGAATGCTCTTAAAACTATTTTAGAGAAGGCGAGACTATATATGGTTTAGAAGATGCACAATCATTACGAGTCAAATTGGCAAAATTGGGGGAAAACATAGATGCGACCAGCAAAAGAATTCTAGTCGTTGGCGTGAAGAAAGATGCAACGGATTTGCAGGAGGCATTGGGACAAGAATTGAGACTATACCAGATGGTTAGAACATCCGCAATGATATTTTTGAAAGAAGAGTTATTAACTCTGCAACCCCTGCCCTCGATAGAGGAATATGCAGTTTTACAAGAAGAACGCCAGAAAAGGATAGAAGCCCGAATAGCATACGAGTGGCAGTTGGAGGAAGAACAACGAGAGAAACCGAAGGAACAACGCAAGAAAGATACATGGAATTTGGACAGTAGTCCATCTTTGAAAACCAGTCAGGTATATCAACAAATTAGAGCAGATGATTAAAGACGGGAATTTTTT